TGAGGACTGTTTAAATGAGATAATAAAATAGATAAAAACAGATTCAGATGTCTAATGATTTTAATTTGTAGGCAAAAGTTAATCTGAAATTTTTAATTTTGTAACCCAGGTTCAAACTATATTTTTATTTCTATTTTTTTTTAAAGAACTTAGCATCGTGGAGAAAACGAGCTGAACACAGTGAATTTTCTCATGATTTTCCAAATAATTTAATCTTTAGATGAAACTGGAGAAAGTTTTAGTTATTATTGGTGTTCAAGTTTATATCTGCCAATGTTAGAGGAAGACATTTAAAATACCCAAATTGATTAATATTCCAAAACATTTTACTGACGACATGTTTGGAAATGTCTTGGAGAGACGGCAGTGAAGTTTTTGACTCAAATATTCAATGACATATTTGAGGGTGAGAAAATGCCTGAGGAATGGAGAAGAAGTGTGCTGGTGCCCATTTTTAAGAACAAGGGTGATGTACAGAGTTGTAGCAACTAGAGGGGAATTAAGTTGATGAGTCACATGATGAAGATCTGGGAGAGAGTTGTGGAAGCAAGACTTAGACGAGAGGTGACTATCTGTGAGCAGCAGTATGGTTTCATGCCAAGAAAGAGCACCACAGATGCCATTTTTACTTTGAGAATACTTATGGAGAAGTAAAGAGAGGGTCAGAAAGAAATCCATTGTGTCTTTGTGGATTTAGAAAAAGCATATGACAGGGTGACAAAGGAGGAGGTGTGGTATTGCATGAAGAAATTTGGAGTGGCAGAGAAGTATGTTAGACTGGTACAGGACATGTATGAGGACAGCAGGACAGTGGTGACGTGCTGTAGGAGTGACAGATAGCATTAAGGTGGAGGTGGGATTGCATCAAGGATTCCTGCCTGACCAGGATGAGGTCAGACAGGAATCCCTGTGGACTATGATGTTTGCATATGACATTGTGATCTGCAGTGAGAACAGGGTGGAAGATAACTTGGAGAGGTGGAGGTATGCACTTGAAAGAAGAGGAATGAAAGTCAGCTGTAATAAGACAGAGTACATGTGTGTGAATGAGAGGGAGGCTGGTGGAACAGCGAGGCTACAAGGAGCAGAGATCATAAAGGTGCAGGACTTCAAGGACTTTGGGTCCACTGTCCATGAAAATGGGGAGTGCGTTAAAGAGGTGAAAGAGTCCAGGCAGGATGGAGAAAATTTTCAGCAGTGACTTGCGACGAAAGGATGACAGCAAATGTCAAAAGTTTACAAAACAGTGGTGAGACCAGCTATGATGTATGGAGACAGTGGCACTGACAAAAAGGACAAAAGAACTGAAAAGTGACAGAAATGAAGATGTTGAGGTTCTCCTTGGGATCGTCAGGGACGGATAAGATTAGGAATGAGATCATCAGAGGTACAGCACAGGTTGAACAACTGGGAGATAAAGTTAGAGAGGACAGACTGAGATGGTTTGGACATGTTTAGAGGAGGGACTGTGGGTATATTGGTAGAAGGATGTTGGAAATGCAGCTGCCAGGGAAATGACAGGAGATATATGGATGCAGTTAGAGTGGACATGGAGGTAGGGATGGGCGATATGGCATAAAATTCATATCACGATATGTATTTTGAAGGGTGGTGATAACGATGCATATCACAATATGTTTTTGGTATAAAACTTGCAATAGGAATGAAAAAAAAAAAGCGCAGGGTGTCCTTTTGCCATAATTTATTTTGAAAACTGCTATACCACAAAATAATCTCAATTTAGAAAATCCCACCACTAGGTCCAGAGAGTTTTTAAATAACAAATTAAGCATTAGGCTTCTTTCTTGTAGTGCAAAACAGAGCAAAATATATCAAATGTAGTTTTAACCGTATGTTTTAAACAAACGAATATGTTGTCAAGTCTTAACAGTTTCCAGTCTTCTCACTTGATAAATGAACAGCAACAGAGCAGCATTTTACACTGAAAACACTTCTCAGTGGGCGTCTCCTTCCGTTTCAATGGAGAGCTGACACAAAATGACGACCAGTTTCCTTTGTGGCTTTGACCAGAGGGTCTCGCAGTAAAATCACACAACACAACGTTCTTTTCATAGATCAGAGAGCAGGTTTCTCTAAAGCTGACCAACGCTTGCTTTAACTTTCGACAAAAAAAAAAAAAAAAAAACTTTCGACGGAACACAGCGTTTTGTGCATGCAGCCGAATACAGCAACACTTCTGCATGCCGGCCATAGTTAGCTTGTAGCTTTGCTACTTAGCTCTCGAAGAAAGGACTTTACCACCGCTTACGCACAGTTTTCAACTAAAAAAAAGTAACGATTAAATCTGACAACTCTGATTTTACATCAGACACAGCATTACTGTGGTTAGCTGGTAGAAGACAGATCTCTATCATAGGCTAAATGTCTATCGTTTCCAACGTGTACCATATTTATATTACGCATTCCTACTAGTTGGAAGTGAGGACAGAGGATGCAGAGGACAGAGTGAGATGGAGGAGGATGACTTGCTGTGGAGACCCCTGAAGAGAAAACAGCCGAAAGAAGAGGAAGAAGAAGCCATAAAAGGAAGCTGACTGGTATACTATGCTAATTTTACGATTTTCAATTATACTTTACCAATTGTTTTTAGTTTTTGGGTCCTAACAAAAGTTACTGATAAAAAAATATAAAGTTTTCTTGTTACACAGCCAAATAAAGTCTGTTTACATTGGTATTGGCCCAAATTTCTGACATTTGTATTGTGTATGCATATTAAACTCGTCCATCTATAAGACAAATTCACACGCATCCATAAACAAAGAGATTCCACAATACAGCCTCCTCAAAAGGGTCACACTAATATTTTAATGGACCACCTTTAGCTTTGATTATGGCATGCATTCACTGTGGCATTGTTTCGATAAGCTTCAGCAATGTCACAAGATCCATTTCCATCCAGTGTTGCATTAATTTTTCACCAAGATCGTACATTGATGACTAGGCACTAGGCATGATGGGCGCATCACTTCACCTGCCTCTCTTCTTACCCTGATGCTCCCATCACTCTGAAACAGGGGAAATCTGGACTCAACAGACCACATGACCTTCTTCCATTGCTCCAGAGTCCAATCTTTATGCTCCCTAGCAAACTGAAGCCTTTTTTCCCCCGGTTAGCCTCACTGATTAGTGGTTTTCTTAAGGCTACACAGCTGTTCAGTCCCAATTCCTTGAGTTCCCTTCACATTGTGCATGTGGAAATGCTCTTACGTCACTATTAAACACAGCCCTGACTGCTACTGTTGTTTTTCTTTGATTTGATTTCACCAAACGTTAAAGTGATCGCCGATCACGATCATTCTGGATTTTTTTCCGGTCACATTTCTTCCTCGAAAACAATGGGTCCCCACTATCCTTCCAGTTTTTAATAATGCGTTGGACAGTTCTTAACCCAATTTTAGTAGTTTCTGCAATCTCCTTAGATGTTTTTTCTGCTTGATGCATGCCGATGATTTGACCCTTCTCAAACAGACTGACATCTTTTCCACGACCACGCGATGCGTCTTTCAACATGGTTGTTAAAAAAAATGAGAAGCAACTCATTGCACCAGTTGGGTTAAATAACTTGTTTCCAGCTGAAAGATGATCGCCCATGCAGTAATTATCCAATAGGAGGCTCGTACGTATTTGCTTAGTTAAATCCAGGTGGCGACGTTTCTTTTGGCCAGGCAGCGTATTATACACCAAAACAGCAATGGCCTAGACAAGCAAAGACCTTGTACAACATTTTATCTTGATTTGTGACTTTGACCTTGAAGCTGGGGTCATGAAAAGTGTATGCGACACTCTACCTTGTGATGATGCATATATGTATGGCACTCCGGTTTCCTCCAACAGACCAAAATCATGCGTTACATTGAATTTTGTAACCCTTGTGACTTGCCCAGGAAGCACCCTGCCTCTCGCACATCCGACTGCTGGAGATAGACACCAGCTTCTCTGCACACCAAAAAGAAAAAGCAAGTAAAGATAATGAACGGATGGTATCACGGCCTCAAAGGCCAATGCCTCCTTGCTGTCAAATGTCTTAGCTTTGGTACTGTCTGTCCCAACTTTGGCTGTATATTTGCAATGAGGTGGAAAACTGTGTGACCCATAAATGTTTAAAGGTACATAAGCCAGCCAGATGCAAATCAGTACAATTTGTGACACTTGCTTATTTCTAATTTGTGAGAATACTCGACCAATCAGTGAAAAGGCAAGGAATAAATATTTCAGAATGGCTTCACGGTTCAACGTCAATATATATTTTTCAACCGTGATAGAAGTAATGTGCTGTAGGGTTGTGCACCTTTGGTATACAGACAACACGTTTTGAGACACTGCCAAGAAGTCAATTTATTAAAGACGCATGAGCAGCAAAACACAAAATGACACATCTGATTCAGATACAGTGATACAGTCCAATCATGAGACAATGCGGCCCAATGAATTTTGGTCAACGTTGAAATTCAATGCAATACAACAAAGGAAAGATTTTATGTCAATTATTGAGACAGTTCTTTTTTTACTACTTTAAAGTAATACCTCGTGGCTCAATGAGGCTAACCTGTATTAAAAAAAAGGATGAATGAATGAATACCGCTCACAAACAGGCATTTTATAAAATTATATAACACTTGCATAATACCCAACTTGCAAATAAACAATAAATAAATAAGGCCAAGTACAACCACAAAAAACTACCAGCAGCAGATGTGGTTAATACTCTCTCGTTAACTCAAAAAGTGTTGATTAGCATCACTGTCATGACGTGGTCAAATTGCTAAACTGATTTCTTATCCAAGCTGAAAAACTGAAGTGAAGGAAGTAGAGTATGACTCAACGTTGGTTGCATGTGCAAGATAAAGGATAAAACTTTGGTCTTCATGCCAAACATCATGGTAACCAGTTTTTGCAACTTTGTACACGGTTTCACAATATTATAATGACCTCAGTCATGGGCACACATAAATAGAAGTGCGAAGAAGAGACTCGACACAGACTGGTACATTCTGTGACACGCACTCCTTTCTGCTTAGTGAGCATCCTTTGGACCAATCAGTAGGAAGGTAAGGACCAAATATTTCAGCTGTATTTACTTGTGAGTATTTAGAGAAAATATCAAAAGATAAGCGTTTATTTACACCAAACAACTCCAATTCAGAACATTTTTTTTATTATTATTTAAAGGCAGATATGGGATGCTTCTGCGAAAGCACAAAGCTTATTGATTAAACATATAAATGCAGCAACTTTATAATTACCAGCAGGACGTCTACATTAAATTACCTAGTTTAAATAATTAAAACATTTTCCCACTGTAGTCTTTTCATTGTCAGGATGAAGTGTGCCGTGATGTTTCTTGTGTTGTCCATGGTTGTACTCATGGCTCAACCTGGCGAAGGATTTTGGCACGTGCTTGCGGGAGCAGCTACTCATCTCGCTTCACAGTAAGTACTTCGACTGCTGTTGCTATTATTTTAAATATATGAACACTTACTTTTAAATTAATGAGACCAAAACTTTCATTTTAAAACTGCCATTTCCCTTCACCATTACTGGCAATGACATTCTCAAACTGAGTTTTTCTCTTCCCAGCTTCTTGAACAACAGGGGTGAAACTGCAGAAGAACAAGCTGACCAGCAGCAGCTGAACCAGCAACTGGCCCAGGAGGAAGCCCAGAAGCTGGACCTGCAGCGGATGAACCAGCAACAGCTGGATGAGCAGCAGCAACAGCTGGATGAGCAGCAGCAGCAGGATCAGGAACAACTGAACAGACGTTCATTTAAATCCAAGTTTGCTCGACGTCACTTTAATTAAACTCTGAGGATAGAGCGGAAGATGCTTTAACTCTTGCTCTTGAACATATCGCAACTTGGCAGAGCGGAATAAATATTTACAATGCTTCTGTTAATAAATAATTTTGATTCATTCACTTTAAGATGTTGGTTAATCAATAAAGAAGCTTTACGGCACACGAACAAACAAACAACTGAACTGGCGAGTTAATAAACAAGATTTACAGCACAGTAGAAACTTTTGTCTCTTGTTCAGGTTGAAAATGAAATTGATTTAAAAAAATTGTTTCACTTTAAACTCAAAGTCATTGGAATTTCGACAAATTACTAAATGTGTGGACAATGTGAGTGATAAATGTTAAAACTACTATCAAGCAGTTTTTGAACAGAAGACCTGTAATAAAGCTGGTTTATAAAATTATATTTTGAAGGGAACGTGCGGGACACTGCAGATGTCTCAGCTGGGTTCAAAGCCCTTTCAAGGGCAAAACCAACTTTAAAACAGAAAACAGAACGGATTATGGAAAAACATGAAAGAAAATATATGTATTCAGTAAAGTTTGCACCTTTTGACAGTCTTCTAAATAGTAGGATAAAAAAATGTTAGAATTCAGAAAGTCTGCCTGAATTCAGGACCTGATGCTACATATATATATATTTTTTTAATTAATTTATTCACTCATTTAAAAGAAACAAAATAAAACAAGTTCATCAAAAAAACAAAAAACAAACACTGAATGAAAAGGGTACAGAAAGAAGAAAAAAAATCTTATAATAACTACCCCTTATATAAAAATATATAAAATAACTACAAACAAACGACAACTTCAGCTTGAACAATCTCCAAAGTGAAAACAAAAACATCAGGTATCGTTCACTTGGAACCATACCTTCCCAACAATTTTAACTTAATCATCTTTTTAAACAAATTGTTTTAGAAATTTTTATGGTGATATAAAGTTCCATAATCCTATTCCCTGAATTACAAACAGGGTTCCAAAAAAGTTGGGACACTAAAATTGTGAATAAAAACTGAATGCAATGATGTGGAGATGGCAAATGTCAATATTTTATTCGTAATATAACATAGATGACGGATCAAAAGTTTAATCTGAGTAAATGTAACATTTTAAAGGAAAAATATGTTGATTCAAAATTTCACAGTGTCAACAAATCCCAAAAAAGTTGGGACAAGTAGCAATAAGTGGCTGGAAAAAGGAAATTGAGCATATAACGAACAGCTGGAAGACCAATTAACACTAATTAGGTCAATTGACAACATGATTGGGTATAAAAAGAGATTCTCAGAGTGTCAGTGTCTCTCAGAAGCCAAGATGGTAAGAGGATCACCAATTCCACCATTGTTGCGCAGAAAGATAGTGCAGCAATACCAGAATGGTGTTACCCAGCGTAAAATAGCAAAGACTTTTAAGTTATCATCATCAACCATGCATAACATCATCAAAAGATTCTGAGAATCTGGAACAATCGCTGTGCGTAAGGGTCAAGGCCGTAAAACTCTACTGGATGCTCGTGATCTCCGGGCCCTTAAACGTCACTGCACCTCAAACAGGAATGCCACTGTCAAGGAAATAACAGAATGGGCTCAGGAATACTTCCAGAAAGCATTGTCAGTGAACACAATCCATCGTGCCATCCGCCGTCGCCAGCTGAAACTCTACAGTGCAAAGAGGAAGCCATTTCTAAGCAAGCTCCACAAGCTCAGACGTTTGCACTGGGCCAGGGGTCATTTAAAATGGAGTGTGGCAAAATGGAAGACTGTTCTGTGGTCAGATGAGTCACGATTTGAAGTTCTTTATGGAACACTGGGACGCCATGTCATCCAGACCAGAAAGGACAAGGATAGCCCAAGTTATCAACGCTCCGTTCAGAAGCCTGCATCACTGATGGTATGGGGTTGCATGTGCGCTTGTGGCACGGGCAGCTTGCATGTCTGGAAAGGCACCATTAATGCAGAGAACTATGTTCAGGTTCTAGAACAACATATGCTCCCATCTAGACGTCATCTCTTTCAGGGAAGACCCTGCATTTTTCAACACGATAATGCCAGACCACATTCTGCAGCAATCACAACATCATGGCTACGTAGGAGAAGGATCCGGGTACTGAAATGGCCAGCCTGCAGTCCAGATCTTTCACCTATAGAGAACATTTGGTGCATCATAAAGAGGAAGGTGCGACAAAGAAGGCCCAAGACGATTGAACAGTTAGAGGCCTGTATTAGACATGAATGGGAGAGCGTTCCTATTTCTAAACTTGAGAAACTGGTCTCCTCTGTCCCCAGACGTCTGTTGAGTGTTGTAAGAAGAAGGGGGGACGCCACACAGTGGTAAAAATGGACTTGACCCAACTTTCTTGGGATTTGTTGACGCCATGAAATTTGAAAACAACAGATTTTTCCCTTAAAATGATACATTCTCTCAGTTTAAACTTTTGATCTGTGATTTGTGTTCTATTCTGAATAAAATATTAGATGTTGGCACTTCCACATCATTGCATTCAGTTTTTATTCACAACTTGTTTAGTGTCACAACTTTTTTGGAATCCGGTTTGTACAACGCAGCTCCTTCAGACCAGTTCAAAATGGAGGATTTACAAACATTTCCATTCCCTTAAGGTTATAATGAATCTCTTTTTAAACAAATTTTAATTGAATATTTGGGGCTAATATTTTTATGAGATTTACATATGATTTGTACAATACTATATTCAACCAAATCATAAAATTGTAATAATTTCAACTGATGAAATATATTTGTTGGGTGACCATAGCACTTCCTAATAATTCTTATAGCTCTTTTTTGTAAAATGAAAATAGAATTTGTAATTGTTATGCATTTCTTAATTCTTTCATCATCCAAGGTTTGTCAACAGCATTTTTCTTTTTTTTTTTTTTGCATACAATTCTTTTCCTAAGATATTCATAAACACATCATAGGCTCTGTTTACATAATCAACATACACATCATTCCAATTTTGTTTTTTCAAATAATCTTTTAATTTATCCAAAGCTTTTTTGATGAATTTATCATTTTACTCTTCACCGTCGCTACATTTTTCTGCATTGATAATTTTTACAAATTGCAAAAACTGACAAATGATCATTTATATCAGTCATCAAAATCCCACTCATCACCTCAGCATCTTTTACATTAGTAAAACAGATATTGAGCTGATAGTAGCCAAGAGTCATCCCCAATTTACACAGATAGAGAAATATATTTTTTAAAATGTTAACGTTAATTATCTGACGGTACAATATCTCTTAATACTATACTGAGTATGAGTTACTGAGTAACTAATATTCTGGTTTTGAACTGTTGTAAGGTAGACTTCCTTTGTTAGTTTAGTGTACATATCATTATCATTATTATTAATATTATTATTATTCATATACATTAGAATCTTTCCCCCTAAAATCAGCATGTTTGATGAAGAGTAACAAACATGAAATAAAAATGAAATGTTCTCAGATGCTCTGAACTCTTAAAAGAAAAAAAAATATGAACAAGGTTTTTGTGGATTAAAAACAAGTTATAATTTGAAGAAACGGCCGTACAGTAGTCAAATTTATCTGCAAACATAATTTACATTTAATTCAATAAATTTTAATAAATTAATTTAAAGTATCTTTATTTAAATTAAATATGAAAAAAAAAACTGAGAACATTACTTTTAAAATTTATACGGTTTGAAAATGTCATCTGATTAAAAAAACAAAAAAACAAACAGAAGTTCTGTCTCAGTGACCCCAGTATGATTGTGTGAACCCAGTATGATTGTCGAGTTCCAGTGAAATCGCTTAGTCAGGATGACACAATGTGAGAAGTTGCATCATCTACAAATTAGGACCTTTAAAGGAAAATGTCCCGGCAATGCTAACATTCAGTATGTGTATGTAAGGAAAAAATAAGAAACTCTACTATTAGTGCTCCTTTAAGTGGTTGCTTTTGCCTCTTTATTCTGTATCAATGTCTTACTTGTGACTACACATTGCATACAAACTTCTTATGTAAAAGGAAACATGAGCAGGAGTGACATGGCATGTTTTTATCGCAATGATTCATCAGTTTCTAGTCACGACAAACATCCCGATTCCAAAATACATTAAAGAAATCAATTTAACACCAACTCTACAAGATAGACAAACATTTGCTGTGACAGTACAACCTTGAAACTGGACACTACTGTAGAGAGATGATGGTACAAGCAGAGAAACGGGACAAACTGCTTTAACAATGTTTTGAATTAGGTTTTTCTTTGTCCTGATGCTGGGTCTACTCACAGCTATAACTGCAAAATAAGAGTACTGTACGGCACATGTTACGCCGGTCAAATGATTATACAACAATACAGCAATCTATAGCAATGGCCTGACAAGCAAAGCCACGAGAAGGTTGCCACACTTTGCCTGACCTTAAACATGTATGGTAGACTTACTTGATATATATTCTAATCACTCTGGATTTAATTTGAACAGATCCATAATTACATTTCAGCAGTAGAAATTAAAATTTTTAAGATTTACAATTTCAAATCCAATAGTAAAAATCTAAAAACAAACTAAAATCTGTTAAGTTTAACTGGCCATTTTAGCAGGTATTTGCCAAGGAAGATATGACATATCAAGGTGGACCAATAAACTGTGAGCCCAGCAGCTTCTTTCACACAACAGACTGGAGCAGCACCCTCATGACAGCAGATAAAGCCCCGATCCATTAATCCTGCTCCATCCCACAATCACTTTTGGCTTAACTCTCCATTTAAAGCAAACACTCCACCTGAACCAGAAGGAAGAGGTCCACCTTTTACCAGCTGAGAACCAAGACCTCAAAACTATAGATGCTGACCGTCATCGAGGCCTCATTCCAGCCTTCTGTTCCCAGAGATTTTACACAGACACGGTTAAGAATTAGCAACACAAACTAATGAAACTGACCTTGACAAATCGTATGGTAGTCTTAACTTATTTTGTCACAATCTGTTGAGGTAGTCACTGCAACCAAGATTTCTGTAATTCTCTTTCACTGAGATGTCTGCACATGTCCATAGGTATCTTGGCCCACTCCTTATAAACAAACTGTTGCTTCTGTCTCGGGTTTGAAGGGTTCTCCGGACTTCGTGTTTCAGCTCCTTCCAGAGACATTCAGTAATGTTGCATATCATGTTTACAGTTTAAAGTACTTTGTGGCCTAATAAGTTAGGAGTAT